CTCGTAGATGATGATAAATAACATAGTTATGTATAATATATTACATTTCTGACTGTATATCCCTGTAATTATTACACACTGTAGCTTTAAAATACTTTCATTGATTGAAGTTAAGTTTTTTTTTGTTTAAAGCAATTTTTAAATTATAGTAACACTGTTTTTTGTTTGGACCATATTATGGGTAGGACGTTTGTGTCTTTATCATTCAATCAAAAAAGAAGTTGCTTCAGACAAACAAACAACAAAATCATGAGTTTTTTGGGGTTTTAACCATTTTTTATGTGTTCAAATACTTTTTTCTTCGATTGATTTTTATTTTTTATTGAAGTGAAGGTGTTTTCAATTGAAAATGTATTGTTTTATTGAAGCAACCTTTTTTAGATTGCATAATAAAGACACAAATCTACCTTCATACCTTCCTGCTCTTGTCCTATATTTATTACATAATGAGAATCAGAAAAATTGTCATAAGAATATTCTCCATTACTCCCTCGCTTTGACTGTTAAAACTCTTTAGATGTTTCATTTTAAAAATATATTTTAGTATATACTTTGTGTTAAAGTGTGATACAATTAGAGTGTCATCATTTTATCTTTTATTACTGGTTAATTTAGTTAATTCTAATAGAAAAATAAATGAATTACCTCAGTTTGATTGAAACTTCCTTCCTAAAAAAATCTAGGTTATCCTGGTTATCATTGTTTGTATATTTAGATCCCAAACTTTTCCCAAGCTTTTTCTTAAGCTTTAAAGTAGACACTAGATTCTACTTCAACACTAACATATTGCTGACCCAATGTTTATTGCCAAATATTCTCTCTAAATGCCACTAGCTAACAGCGTCATTGCAGATATTCAGTGACGAAAGAGCAGCTCCCAGTATAGGACACAATAACCTGCTCAGCATCGTATACACAGGACTGCATACATCACCATTCCTCTCTCCTGTTAGACAACAACCATCTGACGTGCAAAGACAAAGCAGAGATGGAACAAACCATAGAATGTATGAGGAAGATTAGCTGAAACATGTGGCTGAGCCTCCTTAACTGGTTCATCTTGATGATGCAGATCTGCAAAATAAAATTTTGAAAGATTGTATGAAAGGCATCATGTTAAAAATTGACACTGCATCATCTGAGTAGCATGTGCTATATATCAGCCATGTCAGGTCTTGCTACAGAATCAAATGCATGCAAGTGATGTTATTAACTTAACTCCTTGTTTGAACACCACTGAAACGGGACACAGATGCCCAACAGACCTATACCCCCATATCTGTCTGGTTCTGTTTGTTTTGTTTTTTTACAATTTTTCTCTACAGCCTACACTGTTGTAAAATATTATCCCTGCTCCCTTTTCTATGCAGATAAAACCCACATTTATTTATTTAACACAGTATCTTAAAAAGTAAATTATTAGTGCATATTCTTTAGTAACTATCTAAAAGTGTTGTGAAAAAAAAAAAACTCCTGAATTCTGAAACAAGGTGAAAAGACTGATCCATGAATAATCTGTAGACTAGACTTCTGGTTCTAGGCTGTATTAGCAGGGTGCAATTACAGTTTTCAAACCACAGTATAAAAACCCCAAAAAGCTGCAGCCAGGGTTCTGTCAGGAGGTATTATTCCTGCTTCTATAAATTGGCTTACATTTCTCAATCCAAGACAAACCAATATTGAAATTAATCCTTCAAAAGCAGTTCTTATATGGTGCAGCTGGATTTTTATGGAGAGAATTTTGCTTGAATATTTTTGCAAGCAATGAACATGTTTTCTAAATGAAAAGTACCGGTATGTAAAAAAAAAAATCCAATTCCTAAATGAAACTTCAAAAACTTTGCTGTTCTCTCAGATTTTGTTTCTGTCATGATTTTATTCAAAGATCTGACCCACATGCAGAGAACCAAACAGAGAGACCAGGGGAAAGTTTAACAGGTTTAT